ATAAGGTTGCAAACGGACGGTTTAGAACACTTGAATAAAGCCTGAAAAGTATCACTCAAAATTATGGTTCATCAGTTTTTGTAACTATATATATTCTTAACAGCACTCACCTCTAGTTGATTTTAACTACCCTACACTTCGAATTAAAAATCACATATAAAGAATGGTCAACTCAGAATGCAGTAGAAAAGACCCTGGTAAAGGTTAACTGGGCATATTACTGATATGGAAAAAAATTCTCTCACTTTTTATATTATATTGCTTTAAGTGGAAATCAAAAGTCTCAACTTCCATCCTTCAGCTGTAGACACCTTCAACTAAATTTCAGAGACTAACGGAAACTTCCGATTTATACATTTAGAAGAAAACATCATCAAACTGAGCGCAGGAAATATACTCCCTTTCAATTCCCTTCAAAAGGAACATATTTCTTCTCTAAACTTGTTGTTTTTTTTTCTAAATGAAACTTCTTACCGCTTTCACACATTTATCGTATATATTTAAACTCTGATTAGCTAGCTACCCACTGCATTCTGATACTGCGTAAATCCTAGTTTTGTAAGACTCTGACCTAATTCAGTTATTGAAGTGTTTACAATATCATGCTATTTTCATTATTCTTATTACCATCTGCAACAACTGATTGTACTTTTGTCGTCATTGACATGAATACTATTTTTGAGCAAATTGAGCTTTGTTCAAGTTTATCAAAGGAAATAATTATATAGAATTAATATTATTATTATTTTTAATGTTATTATTGTATTTAGAGCGAACAATTGTTTTTAATAAATCCTTCTTCAGGCTCTACATTTATAAATAAATCCAGAAATTTTAGCAAACAATGGCCCGTAAAAGGGAACTAGAATTATATCAGAAAGTGTATTGTGATACAAGTACAAGATGGAGTAACAGTCAGTTAGTTTTGATTATCATTTAAATGCATATAAAATTGTATTATCGATAAGGACATGGAATTATTCAATGACGTGTTTGGTGTCCTTATGATCAATAAATGAAAAAATATGATAATAGGACTTGGTCGATGTAGTAGATTATAATTTCATCATAAATGCATGCAGGGATACACCGTTATTTACTGATGACGTTTCCAGCACAATTTATTGTTCTTATTCACATCACAGAACTCTAATAACTTTCAAATTTCGTTCATATAATTCCATTATTTATTATTCCTTGATTTGATTGGTAGCAATTTTTATCCATATCTCTGGTATCAGAGTTGTGTCATTCCTACTGTACGTGTTAGGTGATTCAGTAGTCAACCTCTCTCTGCGCTTATCTGTATTACGTTTTAGAACTGTAGCTCAAATACAACCAATTGTGTGTTAGGACATACATTGCGATTACTAAGTTTCTCTCTAGACTATTCATCTTCGTGCAGTCAGTCATCCTGCACTTAGTTAAATCTTTATGTTCTGACAGTCTTACTGCCTCCAACCTACTTGTCTGACAACAGTCATTGCAAGGTACTTCGTAGAACAAATTATTTCGTCTAATTGGGTCAGTAGGGTCCTTTAAACTACAAAGCTGGTCCCTGAATGAGTTTGTAGCTTTAAACACTACCCTAATTCCTGTCTTACTAGGAATCCTAAGTAGGGTATCAGATGCCCTTTCATTGTATGGTAGAACTGTATACGGCTCAAATTCTTTCTTGTGCTTCCATATTAGTTTGTTTATTAGATGTATCACACAGTGATGAAACAGTACTACTTACTGGACGACGTTTAGAACAAAATTTGTTGTTCATAATCATGTCATCAATTATAATCACACGAGTTCGAAACTTGAGTTTTATAGTTTTCTTTGTCCTCTCTTATTTGTCGTAGGGGTAGTAGAATTTTCCAGATATCTGGAACAGGTGATGAATCATTCCTATTACATGTATTTGCAGTTGATTCGATAAACAAAGCTTCTGTTATCAATCTCTCCCTATACCCTGTGACATTAGATTTTAAAACTGTCATCCTATCCCATCCTATTGTATGGTTGTGTGTAACTGCATGTAGTGCTATAGCTGAACTATTCTCTACATTTCTTATCTTATTCGGGTCAACCAATCTAGATTTTGCTAGATTTTTATGTTCGGCTAGTCTGACTGCCTCTGTTCTACTACTTTGACCTGACAATCATTGCAGGGTATAAGATAAACTAAATTGTTTTGTTTTAAAGGTCCCACAGGATTCTTTAACCGACAAAGCTTGTTTCTAATTGAGTTTGTGGGTTTGAATGCCACTGTCTTACTGTGTGATACATCTAATAAACAATCTAATATAGAATTACTTTCTACCACAGTGCCCAACTTCCTTGTGCTTATAATTTATAATTCCACTGTTTCTCTTGTCGTGAGTTGCTTGACTTTCCTAATGAATTTTATGGGACAGCTACTTAGCACCAGCATTTCTGTCTGTTCTATTTCGTTATTTAAGGTTTTCTCACACATTACTTGTAGTTTTCCTCAGTTTGTTAGACACTTAACTAACCCTGCATTCACAGATAACCTAAAGTCTAAATGTCTGTTAAAGTTTGTTGGCTTTGTATAAACGCTAATGCTTACTCTGCCTTGTCCTTTTTATTTTACATCGCAACGGTATCGCCGTGTGCATGTATGAAATAAAACTATTATTATTAAATTATTTGAAACACAAATTTGATATATTATAGGCACCAACAGGTGTACCACACAAGAGTATTGAAACAACAAGTTATTAGGTAAAAATGGGGATAATATGAATCAAGAACACCATCCAGAGGCAAGTAAGCATACTTGTCACAATCACTCGGCAATCATCGCTTCATTTTACTTTCAGAAAGGAAAGACATAAGGAAAACGAAGCAGGTTCACTAGTGACTAAGATTCTTGGCCATATCTGATATCGTTTCGAGCAACCGATTCGAAGTATCTCTCGGACACCAACTAAGGAATCATGATGTACTAACTGATGCTAATCTAACACAAATATGTTTCATCTTACAACGCTATTTCATGGGCTAACTACCTCTCGTATTTTTCCATCTAGTCTCAGGTCGAGGGAAAAGCGATCAGTACGTAAGCCTCTGGGATTATATTCGTTGCACACGCACAAGCCACTGAAGCCTATGTTTCAAGAAGACCTCCAACCTGTGCAAACATGCTCTGCCGGACCTGAGAATTGTTTACACGACAATGCCATCGGACGTAAGCAATCCTACGGAGACAGTTATGATTAAATACGCCGTACACCCTTGGCCCAGAGAGGCCAAGTTTCACAAGAGAACCGGAGCATTGTAAACCCATTATTAGGTAGCCAGGCTGACATAGCAGCGGCGCCAGAGGTGGGTCGAAATGGCGTATGCCATCTTAGCTCTCACTACAAGGTTCGGGATCTTGTCCGTCACACCTCCGCTAGCACTCACAGAACAACCTAGATACAAGAACTTGCCGACAACTCCAAGCGGTTCACCTGCACGGCTGAGTAAATGTACAGGCTCCCGAAAATCTTGAAACAATACTTTCGACTTAGACGCAGACAATACTTACAGACAGTGGTCACCAGCCTGGAAAGTTATGATAGCAATAAATTGAGTTCAAAATGTCACCAGTAACTAATACTATATTTCCCACATTTTCTAGCATCAGTAGCTGGATTAACCTTTTCTGAAATCAGCAGAAGAACACCTTGGTAGACTATGTTTAAGAAAAGAGATTCACAGAACCATCAGTGAGCTAACTGCCATCAGACTTGCAACTGAACAACTGAAATCCAAACTGAAAAGTATCAGTGGCTGAACTGCATCCTTTCACCATTTCTATCATGTCAAAGTGAGTCACCTACACTCACACTTCCAAGTTCATATCTGATTCACCAAAGTAACAACAACTTACAACATCAAAAACCGAATCCAAGAAATGTCATGCAACAATCACTTCTATCCACCACACTCACCCTTCCTCCAATATACTAAACCCTCCACTCCATGCCATTATCTCATATTCCCAAAGATTCAAAAATAAAATCAGATATTCTCTACACCTTCGAGTATAGTGCTAACACTATCACATACAACACCAACAACTTACAGACACTGACAACTCACTCCGGATATTCTCCCCCCAATACACAATCATGACAAAACTAGCTAGTAAGTGCTGGTTGGTTCTTCACACAGTCAACTCTATGCACCATACCACAACATGTGGTGTCAGGTCGCTCGACTGCCACACCACCGTCTTTCTCATTAATATTACCTACACAGACGCGCCACCCTGTAGTCACTGAAAGTGTAATATCTGTAACCAAAAGTGAAGTCCTACTCTCACCTTCACAAACGCTAATCGAAAAGACAAGACAAACAACCTGACTCAATGTAATACGAAAAACATTGCGGAAAATCAACTATACAAACACGTCACTCTTCCCCTTACCATTGATCTTCATCGAACGCTACTAGCACACCTTCACTCACACAAAATTACTCCTCCAATAACTGAGTCTTAACAAATTCAGTACCCCGATGGTGTAATTAAGAAACATGTGGTCGAGAAGAATCCCACACTCATCGCCTCTCAACTTAACCATCTGTAAGTAAGGAATCACAAAGTTCTTTCTCTACACATCTCATATTGCTTACAACAATTTTACACTTGCATCCTACATAAGTTCACTAGTTAACTTTGTCGAAATTCCGCAACAGACTTGTAGCAATCATTTACACAGAAACACAATACATCAAAAGCTTGCTACTTATACAAGTTCATCAAGTTTAGCTATAGTAGAAAAGTAAGTTGAGGTGAGTGGTTGTTACTTCCCACACCATGTACGTTGGTACTTTTTTAGATTATCTGAGAGACAGAAAGGATTAGATAAGCATAACAGTATGCCCCTGGAAACACCTGCTTGATACCACTCACACTAATCACATAGAGGCGGTAGCGAAATTTCTGCAACCTCATTTGTATAAAGCCTCTAAAGCTGGTCAGGAGAGACTGCCGTAGAGTAGTACATCGCGATTTACAACTTTCAAAGTCGAATTTTTCTAACTGCACATCCTCAGAGAGGAAAGACAACACAGTTGATTTATTGACTGTCAAAAATAAAACACTTTACTTACTGGTTGTCACGTTGAAAACATTTACGTCATATTTATCTCCAGAAAACAAGTGGAAAAAAACACAGCTAAGTTCGAGCCTAAAATAACTAATCATTGTAATAACAATAAAATACATCAAAATTGTGTAGATAAATAAATATGAAAAAAATAGTTCAAGGCAAAGAAAAAATAAAGAAATAAAAAATTCTTGCACTAAAGAAAAAAAATAATGCAAAAGTCATGAGATCTTAATCATCAGTGGTCAATGCACAAATATAAATAAATGCTGTATTGTTAACACAAGTAGATAAGTGAAAATTCTGCAAAGTTAGAATGACAACATTCAGTGCATATATCTTCAGTTTCATGGCAATTGATTCTCTTCATCTGAAAACTCGTCAATATTGAAGTTATTGCCTTCAACAGCAGCGTCGGGTGGACAAATCCAATTATTTCCATCATTAGGAATATTCCGGTTGGATGAATAGACACTATTCTTGTTGTTGCTGTTATTATTATAATTATTACTACCTCTGTTCTTATTGTACTGAGAATTTCTCAGTGGCACAGAAGAAGAACCAGACTTAGAAAATTTACACAATGATGCAATCGCTTCAAAATTACCTAAAAAATGAAAGCACATAAAGCATACATAAATATAAATGTATCATCACAATTTTTTTATTGCATTAAGCTCCCAGTGGGACATAGGATTTTAAGCTACAGGCTTGAAGTTTCGGTACCAGTGTTGTTGCTAGCTTCATGTCCAACCTTCCCTCTTTACCAGTCTTATTACTCGCTTAGTGAGGTATAGGAGTGTGTCCGGCGGGAGTCGAACCCCGGACCACATGCATGGTCGGCGAGCATTCTACCGCTGTGCCACCGACGCACATGAACACAAATAGTGAAAGCAAATTCACCTACCGATAAATTAAGTAAAAGCTTTGGTACATGTAAATGAGATTTTCCATATTAAACTGAATAAAAATTAAACACCAACAGTGTATCGAGAATTCTGGTTCATTTATGACCTGTTGAGAGTATTCAATTACAACTTTTCCTTTCACTATAAATGGGTCATAATCATATCAATTGGTATGTTTTATGAGCAATAAATTCTGCTCGAAACATCATCCAGTTATTAATACTATGTGATATTTGAAATAAACTTATCTAATATAGAATACGTAATATTAATATTTCTCCAACTAATGAGAAGTGTAATAAAATAAACCATCAAACATCCGCCCAAGTTATTACACGTTGAAAAACCAAATAGAAAGGGAGGGGGAAAATGCAGTGACACTGCAAAAAAAAATTTATCCCGATAATAAAAGATCTGATTTATCAAGTACAATACTTATGCGCTAGAATTTAAACCACCTTTGATGTTGAAAATAAAGTATCAAAGTTAAAAGGCCACAGTAGCTGATATTAATGTTTGTGAATAAGAGTACGAAAAATAGCAAAGTATTTTAAGAATGTAGTTGCACTTTTAAAGATTAGGTGATTTCCTTTTGGAAATTAGACAAATCTAGGAGATCACCTACTCCTTAGAGTTCAAATTCCTACCTCTCAAATAGTAAATTCGTCAGGGATTCTTTATCTGACTTGAAGTATGTAGGTGATGTAAAATTGCAGTCTTTTGAATATAAAAAATGAAAACATGAGAGCACAAAGGCACTTTGATAATTTATCTGATAGAGGCCCAACCGAAAGCTGCTACCTTGACGTGATGGTCGGGCTTGCATATCGCAATGACCCAACGAGCTACACTGGCTGAAACTTATGTTTCTGTAGGTCCTACCATGCCAGAAAGGTTGTTTGGATAGCGGTTAGGCAAAAAGCAGCTACCCAATCCAACACCATGATTCAAACAAATCCACAAAATATCATGCCGGATCGGTCGGGGCCCGGATTAACAACGATCGCGCTTCCTGCTGCCGTGTCACAGGGCAGAAGTGATAAATATGCTACTGAGACACACCAAATGAAAAACAACAAACAAAAACAGGCCGCGTGTGACCGGCCTCAAGCAGTTGTCCCCTGGGCTCTGCGGTCACGCAACCAACTTCCACGGTGTGGGCAGCCGGGAAGTAACAATCGCCCTCACAATCCGAAGTGCATGCGAAACCTCTCTAATCCTCACTCATCTTTGTCTTCATCTTCATCCCTATTATCTTGCCTTCCTTCTACCAATGCAACTCCTCTACTTGATGGCTCTTCACTTCCTCTTCACTCTGTGTGCACTGAAAACGACGGAAGCCGAGAAACCACTACCGATAGTCTCCTAAAGCCACGCCACCAATTTCATATAGGAGCATTTGATGTTAGGACACTTTGCCAAATAGGGCAACAGGCATCACTAGCCAAGACTCTGGCATCCCGAGCCATTGATGTATGTTGTTTCAGAAACACGCATACAAGACCCAAGTGTGGTTGTTCACCTAACTCCACCTGGCCAACAGGATGAATCTGCAAAATTCACCTTGAGGGTGTCAGGAGATGAGACGGCTAGCTCACGAGGATTAGCTGGTGTTGGGATAGCTTTGAGTACTAGGGCAGAAAAGACATTACTTGACTGGATCCCGGTAGATAGCCGAATGTGTGCTATCCGTCTGAACGGATCAGTGAAAAGGAGAAAGGACTGCACTACTCACCGATGCCTTTTCGTAATCTCCGCCTACGCCCCCACTGACTGCAGTTCGGATGAAACGAAGGATGAGTTCTACCAAAAGCTATCTAGTTTGCTGCGAAAGGCTAAACGCTCAGATATAGTCGTTTTAGCTGGTGACTTTAATGCTCAAGTAGGGAAATTGTGTCAATCTGAGAAGAATGTCGGTGGCACAGACGGAATTCCGTGCCAGCGAACCGACAACGGTGACCATCTCCTACAGTTCTGTTCAGATAATCATTTGTTTCTTGTTAGCACTAACTTCAAACACAAGGAGAGACACTGTTTGACATGGCGACCCCCATCATCAAACCAACGCTGGACACAAATAGACCACATAGCAATAATCTATCGTTGGCGTGGGTCGGTAGGAGATTGTCGCTCCTTCTGGAACACGTGTGTAGATACCGATCACGCACTGGTCCGCGCTCGTGTGTGCTTACGACTGAACGGACGTAGGAAACAGCTGGCGGTAAACCCATCACGTCCCCAGCTCGATCAGGAAACTAAGTCCCTATTTGAGGAAGAACTAGCTAAACACATATCTGAGTTCGACAGCTGCGCTCACCCTGAAGAAGCCTGGAAGAATATTCAGTCAGCCATAGATACAGCTGTAAAAGCTGTGAATAAGGTAAATCCAAAGGTGAGTAAAAACCATTGGATTTCGACTGCCTCATCCGAACTAATAGATGATAGAAGACTTATTCAGGCGGGCTCCGAATTCCATGAGGAGCGGAAGCTGCACAAAAGGAAACTTACGAAAAGTCTCCGCAACTCTTTAGACTCATCAGGGAAACGGGTGAAAGAAGGCAAATCATAAGTGAGACTATTTCTGAGAAAAATGGCTCCTTAATCAGCTCTCAGTATAGACGCCTTGAACGCTGGAAAGAACACTTTGAGGAACAATTTAACTTGCCTACAGTCACACTGAGCCTCCCCGCCATCCAGCACACACCCAAATGGGATATAGACACTGGCCCGCCGTCTGTAAGTGAGGTCACAAAAGCTATCTGTAATTTGAAACTAGGCAGAGCGGCAGGACCCGACGGAATTATTCCGGAGGTGTTTAAATATGGGGATGGCATACTAGTACATAGTTTAACTAAAGTACTAGGTAACGTCTGGGAATCAGAGACGGTTCCATCAGATTGGGGTAAGTCACTTATTATACCAGTATTCAAGAAGGGAGACAAGTCGTCATGTGATAATCATAGGGGGATCAGCCTAACGAACATAGTCTCTAAAATCCTAGGCTCAGTAATCATGCACAGACTAAGCCGAAGTCGGGAGGAACAAACGAGGGAAAATCAAGCAGGCTTTAGGCCAGGTAGATGGTGCATAGATCATATCTTCACTCTCCGACAGATCCTAGAACATAGACACACTTTTAGGCGTCCAACAATTGCCATATTTCTTGACTTGAAGGCGGCCTTCGACTCCGTGGATCGAGAGGTACTATGGCAATGTTTGACTGTGAAGGGAGTGCCAAGAAAGTACATTGCACTAATCAAGGCAATCTATTCAAACTCACGTAGCCATGTAAGGGCTTATGGGGAATTGTCATCTGAATTGATAACAACCAGTGGTGTCCGTCAAGGATGTCCACTTTCCCCTTTTCTGTTTAACCTCATCATAGATATGCTAATGGAAGTATCCTTAACTGAACTTAACGACTTAGGAATCGACTTGTTACCAGGGAATAGTCTTATGGACTTAGAATACGCAGACGACATAGTCCTGTTAGGGGAGGACGCTGACAAAATGCAGAGTCTTCTGAACACCTTGAGCAGCAATCTTCGTATGTTTGGCATGCGATTCGCTCCTGTAAAATGTTAGATGCTGCTACAGGACTGGACTACGTCAACTCCTAGCTTAGTGATAGGGAGTGAAGTGATAGAACATGTTGACCACTTCACCTATTTGGGAAGTTGTATCAGCACCAACGGATTGATTGGTGACGAAATCACAGCACGGATCCATAAAGCTCGGGCTGCTTTCGCTAACTTACACCGTCTCTCGCGTAGGCGTGACATCCGGCTATCAACCAAGGGACGTGTATACTGCTCAGCAGTTCGCTCCGTCCTTCTCTATGGCTCTGAAACATGGCCAATACGAGTTGAAGACATGAAAAGGTTATCTGTTTTTGACCACAGATGTTTACGATCTCTTTCTCGCGTTAGGTGGTATAATAAGGTAAGTAATGTTGACGTTAGGCGTAGAGTGTTGGGCAAAGAGGGAAAATCAATCGAAGAGGCTATAAAGTTACATAGATTGAGATGGCTAGGTCACGTGGTGCGCGTGCCTAACTATCGCCTCCCCCAACCCGACGGGCATTACTAGCTGATATAGGTGCAGGTTGGAAAAGAGTAAGTGGTGGCCAAACAAAAACATGGCCTCATCAATCCATGAAATCCCTGACAGTTAAACTGCGTCAGGTAGGGAGATGCAGACTTCCGGATTGGGGCCCTCGGGACTCTAAAAATCAATGGCTGGAGACAATAGGTGACATGGCCCAAAATCGTTGTCAATGACGCAAATGTATTCAGTCTCTGTAATCTTTCATATTCCTTTCTACCATTACTCATTCTGTTTCACTCTTATACTTGCCAAAACCCTATTGATTCTCTTCACTCACTTTCTTGTCTACCTTTGTGTGCTATTTGGAACGTGGCAACTCGAACTGCTGCACTTCGGTGCCAAGTTCTATGTTGAATCCAGCCAGCCATTTGATAGAGGAAGACAGGGAGATTGTAATGACTAACAGATCTGCATTAAATCACATACCTTTCATGCTTATAATATTTTAGTTAAATAAAATACTGAAAATTCACTGAATTCCCATCAACTGCAGTAACAAGACGTTAAAATGCCTTTAAGAGTCGGGAGACGTAGGCAGGAATGTGAAGCATGGTTCTCGTAGTAAGGTCATGAATAAATCTACCCTTTAAACTTTGAAAGCGCAAAAACTAACACCATGCAGACTTCGACTGCTAACTAACATGCATTAGACTCAATTGGAATAGTGGTCAAACTTACTACTATTACACTCCGCAAGTACTGTTACTCTTTGATCCTTTTTCTCACTTTCTCCCTTGTCTTTAGCTTATATTCTTTTGTTATCAACTGATATTATCATTAAAATGACGATCATTTTATAAATGTAATCTTGGTAAGCATTCGTGAAGTATGCCAACCTTGAAACTCAGTCGACCAGTCACAACCTAAGCGGCTACGTAAATATTCATAATACCAAACTGTTGATGCTTTTCTGTTTCATATTTTGTTCTAATATAGTGGAGTATTTCGAACTTATAAGACCTTTCGTTAATAATTTTTAGTTTAAGTGATTACTTTTAACCGATTTCTTTATTACTAAATAATTTCCAAGGCCAATTTCTATAAGAAAGAAAATAGCACTTCATCTGGAATTTTAAGCACCTTTGAAATTCAGTTGTTGAAATTACATTCATTCTTGCGGTTAGAATTCTCTATTAAAATCTCATAAATTTTACAGTAGAGTAGGAAATCTCGAATTTGAAACAAGAAATAAATTATTTAGCTTGAAATTCATGTCATTTTAATGAGCGATAGTGCATGCTTGGCGGAGTTTCCGAGAACCACACTTATAAACCACGTATAACAAGTTATCAAAGGAAAAGTGATGTTGGTTTATGAGGAATGTATACTTAAGAAACTTCATAAATCATAGAGCAAGAGAAAGGGAGTTATGAATTAGAGTAAATCTGAAAAAAGCATAAATGTTGCACAGCTGCACTAAAATTAACTTACTGACTAACCTCAATGTGCATAGTAGTGTCAGTAATTATTCCCATTAATTTAAGGATAGAAAAGCAATTGAAGCATAATACTTACCAAACTGAGAGAACCATGATTCCCCAAGCACTTTCCACATCACAGGTAAATAATCCAATAACATGCTAATACGATTTGCAATCATATGTTTAGCTAACCAGATCAACGATACAGCATTAGGTGATAAAAACATGTCATCCAATATATCAAAGTTCTCTTTACGAATTTTCCAGCTATTTAGAGTGGAAGGTGCACGAAGTGAACGAAAAGCTTTGACATTCCTACGAAAATCAGTTCCTGACTCATCTTGAATAGCATCAACCAGAAGGATTGTTCGCGCTGTCACCAGAGCGGGGTAATGTTTACTTGCAATGTAATAAGGTCTGTTGGATTTTTGGGAGACGAAAGAATCTGAAGCTGGGGTTAAACCGAGTTGCCAGTTCATTCCACCGGTTAAAAAAGCATCAGTCCAGCTGAATTCACGTGAAACCAGTTCAAAGGCAGTCATATTTGGTGCGAAATCAAGATAATTCTCATGCAACCATGAGACAATGTGTCCACCATCTGTATGACATAAGTCCAATACCTCCTAGAATAAAGAAAAGAAAGTATCTCAAAGTAAACACTTAACCCCGAAAATTATCCCAGAAATAAGTATCAAAGACCAGCATTAACAATTTTACATTGGCATGTTAGTAAAAGAAAAGACAACCAACTAGTCACGAAAGTTAGACTAACAGTTCACACTTTTACCTTTTATGGGAAATATTCAGCTAAGAGAATACTTCCATCAGGATGAACAGAAGGTATTTTTAGTTTTTTCCAGAAGTATTACTGCTTTTCACAAAACGAAACATCAGTCTGTTTATCACATAACTTTATTGTCTTTATAACTAAATTTTGACTACGTTTCTTCTTGTTGTGGTCAAAAATGAATGAAGTGAATATCAGGTTAGAATATGAGCACAATTCTGATGAAAAATGACACAGTACGATAAATGTGAATCAAAGATTAACAAATACAAGTAAATTCGTACCTCAAGGTCAAACTCAAGTGGTGGTCGTTTCCATGTTTCCAAATGAGGTGGCAATTTGCCCTCCTTACCACTTGAGTCACAAATAATTTGTTCATTGTTTATAGACTCCCCTAAAGTTGATAAATAAGAAACTTACAGTTAACTCGAAAAGTTGAAAACATGGTGGAGGACATAAAGCAACACTGAAATTAATACAGTATAAATGATGAATGAATTCGTCACATAAGAATTAAACATTCACCGACAATAAAAGGAATCTGATAGTAGTCGACACAACTGAGGTAAACTATTCCAAAACTTAACTGTTCCAAATAAATAGAGTAACATCACACAGGTAAACAAAAATATCACTTTAACCACTCATCATACAAACAAATTATTCTATACGAGGAATAAGCACACACGTAAAATCAAGCCTAATACTGTGACTTACTTTTACAGTAAAGAATTTTGCCTAAAGTGCGAAAAAGTGATAAAACCCCATCACGATGAGATGACAATAGATCAGAATTTTTCTGATTTCCGTTATCTAAAAATAAAGATATGAATGAGGCTTTAATGCGATTTATATCAATACTGTTATCAGATAATGCTGTGATCTAATGTTTTGGATACTTTACGCTCAACCAGTTGGGTTACTAGTTCGAGTCCGGCCCCACTTATTAACATGTGAACAACAGGATGACACATGATATATATGTATAAATTTTCGGCGATTTCATTTTCAAAAGCTGTACAATCGCATTTAAATACATAATTTTACATGGAGACAATTCTTGTTTGATTCTACATAATTATGACGGCGAATAAAAGGTGATAATTATTTCCAACTAGGTATGGTTTTTTACGAGAGGCTTAGAAACAAAATTACGCAAGATAAGAACGGATATTAGGTGTGTAAAAATGAGCATGGATACAAAATTGAAATGATAATTTTCAACTTGAGATGGGAGTAAGGAGGTGTGAATATAGATTACAAGAGCCTTACAAACACAAAAGATTGCACAGGATTAAGACATAATTGTAAATTTTTAAAACGGATTATAAATGTGAACAGGAAAAGCATGGAAACAAACTTAAAATAACTGTTTTTATAACTGGAGAAAAAAATAGGGTGAATCGAAGGAAGACTGAGGGAGTAAGAATCACACACATAGCGAACGAAAAGGGATCAAAAAAACAAAAACGAAAGCACGGTAACATACCACACATTTCAACGGAATGAAGAAAAAGACATATCAGAATAACATAATATAAGAATAACACAGAAATCGCTGTCAAAACATGGTGATATGAAAACGCACTAACTTGATGGTTTAAAAGTTAGTGAGGATGACTTTAAGTGTACCTCAGTCATCGCTATACACTCATATACTGGGCTATGAGTCATAACCAAGGTTAATAGTGCTTAAAAGAAGGACCTGAATTAGTCCCTTTAAAAAATAATGCTAGTGGGATTAATGTGCCTTAATTCACCAAGAATAAAATCTTAGATAATCAACTATTTTCATACATCTACACTTATTTATTTAGCCATTCATTTATCATTGAAATTATCCAGAAAGTTTGCCAAAAATCCGACTTCACAAAAAGATTATATCGCTGCGTTGAACAGACGAATAGTTTACAATAGTAACACGTTTACCTGATGTAAGTTGGAATTCAAGCTGATTAATAGCTGATCGAATATCTCCAGAACAGTCACTTGCTATGGATTGTAGCAGCTGACGCGATGGTGGTTTTAAACCTAACTGCGAAAAAGACACGCACAAAATTAACACACCTATGCAATTAAATCAAGAGTAACATTATTGTCAATACTTAAACTACTTAGAAATAGGGAGTGAAGTGGTAGAGCACGTTGACCACTTCACTTATTTGAGAAGTTGGATCAGCCAGCGCCAACAGGTTGATCGCTGACAAAATCTCAGCACGGATACAGAGGGCTAGTTTCGCATATGCCAGTTTACGCCATCTCTGGCGTAGATGTAATATCCGGCTATAGACCAAAGGGCGGGTGTACTGCTCAGCAGTCCGCTCCGTCCTCCTCTATGGATGTGAGACCTGACCAATGAGAGTGGAAGACTTTGATCGTAGGTGCCTGCGTTCTATCTCCATGTGAAGCGGTATAATAGGGTAAGCAATATTGAGGTTAGGCATCGGTCGAGTGCTAGGTAAGGAGGGGAAACAAATCGACGAGGCTGTGAACCTACATCGACTGAGATGGTTAGGTCATGTGTAGCGCATGCCTAGACATTGTCTTCCACGACAGGCAATGTTATCTGACATAGGGTCAGGCTAAAAAAGAGCTAACGGAGGTCAAACCAAAACATGCCACCAGTCAATGAAACCCACAACAGTTAGTTCAAGCCTCGAAGGAAGGTGTAGACTTCCTCATCAGGGTTACTGACGCCAGAAGAAATAAGAAAACTAAACCTTTTCGGTAATACGTATCTCTACCCAAGTGTTCACTTTATCTGAGGTAACAGGTGAATAAATAATGATATCATGCGTGGAGTGCTAAGTAAGGATGGAAATCTAATCTATGAGATTGTGAGGCTCCATTGTTCAAGAAGTTTCATTTTTTTGATGTGGTTGTGTTCTCTGAGCTGGATAGTTAATTTGCGAAGCTTTCATCGCCCTACTAGGCGACATCTTCAGCGCATACTTCAATTTGAAGTGAGCTTTTAGATTTCTCCACGAGTTTATTAATCATCTCTCCTGGTGACCTTGGATGTGATTGGTTGTTTTTGTGTTTTCACACCTTCTAGGTTATTTGTATTGTAACTCATTGTTTCTTTGACTTGAACTTTGACCCTTTGTGTGTGAGGTTTCTTTCTTATCGGTTGATAAATTTTGTCTATCTCGATGTGTCTATTGATTGATGATTCACTGGAATGCCAAGCTTCTAAAAATTCTCTAGCATTCTTGTTGTTTCCTCTGTCTAATATTTGAACGTTGTCCCAGTCGAATTGATGTCCGTGGTTGTCTGTATGTAGTGATATGAGGGAGTGGATATCGTGTCTTTTGACAGCTAGCTTATGTTCGTGGATACGAAGACGAAGGGGACGTCCACTTTGGCCAATGTAGTGTTTTTCGCAGTTGATACAATCTATTTTGTAGATGATGTTGGTTTTATCTTCTTTCGCTGTTGAGTCTTTTGGTTGACATAGAATTGAGTGAAGTGACTTTGTTGGCTTGTGTACGACGTCAATTCCTAAAGGTTTGAAGAGTCTTGTAGTGATTTCTGAGATATCCTTTATATATGGTAAGGCGATTTTCTTTGTGCTTTCCTTGGGGGCTTTTGGTTTGATAGGTTGGCTTGGGGGTATATGTCTTTTGATGAAATTCCGTGGATATCCATTCTTTTGGAAGACGTCCATGAGATATCTTTCTTCAATTTTCCTTAAGGTGGGAGTGCTGCAATGAGTCCTGGCTCTCTTGAATAGTGTTTGTATGCAATTCCTCTTGTGTGCTATTGGATTGTTGCTGTTGTAATTCAGGATTTGGTCTGTGTGAGTTGATTTTCTATAGACTTGAGTTTCTAATTCCCCTGTGGTTGTTCGCTTGACTAAGACGTCCAAAAATGGAATTTGGTTCTCTGATTCCTCTTCTCTTGTGAATTTGATGTCGTTGAAGACGTTGTTTATCAGGTTGTGAGCTTTATCTAACTCGTTTCTTTTGATAATTACAAATGTGTCGTCTACGTAGCGTATCCAAATATTGGGTTTGATCTTTGGTGGAATTATGTTTTCGAGCCTTTGCATCACTGCTTCTGCAGTTAAACCTGATATTGGCGATCCCATAGGTGTTCCTTTGACTTGTTCATATATTTGGCCGTTGAATTGGAAGTACTTTGTTAGGCATAGGTTTATGCATTCCATCCAGCTTGTGTGTTGCATTTTTGATTGTTGTGGGGGGTGTTCGTCGTTGCTCCATGGTTTCTTTTGCTAGTTTTTGTCCGATTGAGGTACACAATGCTGTGACGTCGAAGGATATCATTATCTCTTGTTCATCTTTTTGGTTGCCTCTGATTTTCTCTACGCATTGGATAGCGGAGTTGATGGAGTGGTCACAAGATTCCGTTAGGTGTTTTAGTCTTCTGTATAATTCTTCGGATAAATTATATGTTGGAGTTCCTGGGAGTGATACAATCGGTCGTAACGGGATAGATATTTGGCTTGTGTATTTTGGGTCTGCCGTAGAATCGGGGTAGGACTGGTCCACTGGATTTCATTCGCCATTGGTCTTGTTTTGTGATTTGTCCAGTTTTGGTAAGCTTGTTTAAGGTCCTTTGGATGCGGTTGTCCAATGTTTGTATGGGATTTGTTGGGAGTTGTTGATACACATCCTCGTCTTTGAGTAGTTCTTCAACTTTCTTGGTGTATTCTTCTCTGTCCATGACTACTGTTGTTCTTCCTTTGTCGGCTGGTAGAATGACGATGTCCTTCCTATTTTTCAGCTTTTTGAGGGACTTTAATTCTTGAGAGTTGAGTTGTGTGTGTTGTTTTTTCTGTTTGACCATTGGTACAATTGTTTGGCGTAACTCTTCCTGTGTTTCCTCGTTCAAGTTTGATGATTTGAGTAATGATTCAAGGGCAGCAAAGAAATCGGTTTTCGAAGCATCTCCGGTGTTGTAGTTTAATCCTTTTTGTAGTAGTTGTTGTTCCATTTTTGATAGTGGTTGTTTTGATAGGTTGACTACGCAGTCTATAGGTGTATTGTCTGGTTGTTGTTTTCTAATCTTGGCTAGCTTGGTTTTGAGGACTCTTTGTCTTTGTTCTCTGTGTTTTCTACTTGACAGTGTAATTGCGGTGATCAGCGTTGACAGGTGTTCCTGGTTGAGGGTTTTCTCTAGTTTTTCTTTTTGGACATCTATTATTTGTTGATATTTCTTGATCCGATAATGTGCGCCTGTAATCATTCATTTGATTATTCGTCTTCCACATTGTTCCGCAAATTTCCATCTCATTGGGCAGTTGACTGGTGGTTTGTATCTTACACTGGTCGGTAGGATTTGATGACAAAGGCACTCATGGAGGAAGAATAATTGTTCTCTAGTGGATCATTGCATTTTGGCGAAGTCTTCCCACTTTCGAACAGAGAGAAGCGTGTCCGGCTCGTAAGATAAGATTAAGATATGATGGAGAAGATTTGTATCTCAGGTGGATGATTCTGATCTGGTTGTCTCCTCAGCTGGATAGTTAATTTGCGAAGCTTTCATCGCTCTACTACGCGACATTTTCAGCGCATACTTGAAGATGTCGCCTAGTAGAGCAATGAAAGCTTCGCAAATTAACTATCCAGCTGAGGAGACAACCAGATCAGAATCATCCACCTGAGATACAAATCTTCTCCATCATATCTTAATCTTATCTTACGAGCCGGACACGCTTCTCTCTGTTCGAAAGTGGGAAGACTTCGCCAAAATGCAATGATCCACTAGAGAACAATTATTCTTCCTCCATGAGTGCCTTTGTCATCAAATCCTACCGACCAGTGTAAGATACAAACCACCAGTCAACTGCCCAATGAGATGGAAATTTGCGGAACAATGTGGAAGACGAATAATCAAATGAATGATTACAGGCGCACATTATCGGATCAAGAAATATCAACAAATAATAGATGTCCAAAAAGAAAAACTAGAGAAAACCCTCAACCAGGAACACCTGTCAACGCTGATCACCGCAATTACACTGTCAAGTAGAAAACACAGAGAACAAAGACAAAGAGTCCTCAAAACCAAGCTAGCCAAGATTAGAAAACAACAACCAGACAATACACCTATAGACTGCGTAGTCAACCTATCAAAACAACCACTATCAAAAATGGAACAACAACTACTACAAAAAGGATTAAACTACAACACCGGAGATGCTTCGAAAACCGATTTCTTTGCTGCCCTTGAATCATTACTCAAATCATCAAAATTGAACGAGGAAACACAGGAAGAGTTACGCCAAACAATTGTACCAATGGTCAAACAGAAAAAACAACACACACAACTCAACTCTCAAGAATTAAAGTCCCTCAAAAAGCTGAAAAATAGGAAGGACATCGTCATTCTACCAGCCGACAAAGGAAGAACAACAGTAGTCATGGACAGAGAAGAATACACCAAGAAAGTTGAAGAACTACTCAAAGACGAGGATGTGTATCAACAACTCCCAACAAATCCCATACAAACATTGGACAACCGCATCCAAAGGACCTTAAACAAGCTTACCAAAACTGGACAAATCACAAAACAAGACCAATGGCGAATGAAATCCAGTGGACCAGTCCTACCCCGATTCTACGGCAGACCCAAAATACACAAGCCAAATATCTATCCCGTTACGACCGATTGTATCACTCCCAGGAACTCCAACATATAATTTATCCGAAGAATTATACAGAAGACTAAAACACCTAACGGAATCTTGTGACCACTCCATCAACTCCGCTATCCAATGCGTAGAGAAAATCAGAGGCAACCAAAAAGATGAACAAGAGATAATGATATCCTTCGACGTCACAGCATTGTGTACCTCAATCGGACAAAAACTAGCAAAAGAAACCATGGAGCAACGACGAACACCCCCCACAACAATCAAAAATGCAACACACAAGCTGGATGGAATGCATAAACCTATGCCTAACAAAGTACTTCCAATTCAACGGCCAAATATATGAACAAGTCAAAGGAACACCTATGGGATCGCCAATATCAGGTTTAACTGCAGAAGCAGTGATGCAAAGGCTCGAAAACATAATTCCACCAAAGATCAAACCCAATATTTGGATACGCTACGTAGACGACACATTTGTAATTATCAAAAGAAACGAGTTAGATAAAGCTCACAAACTGATAAACAACGTCTTCAACGACATCAAATTCACAAGAGAAGAGGAATCAGACAACCAAATTCCATTTTTGGACGTCTTAGTCAAGCGAACAACCACAGGGGAATTAGAAACTAAAGTCTATAGAAAATCAACTCACACAGACCAAATCCTGAATTACAACAGCAACAATCCAATAGCACACAAGAGGAATTGCATACAAACACTATTCAAGAGAGCCAGGACTCATTGCAGCACTCCCACCTTAAGGAAAATTGAAGAAAGATATCTCATGGACGTCTTCCAAAAGAATGGATATCCACGGAATTTCATCAAAAGACATATACCCCCAAGCCAACCGATCAAACCAAAAGCCCCCAAGGAAAGCACAAAGAAAATCGCCTTACCATATATAAAGGATATCTCAGAAATCACTACAAGACTCTTCAAACCTCTAGGAATTGAAGTCGTACACAAGCCAACAAAGTCACTTCACTCAATTCTATGTCAACCAAAAGATTCAACAGCGAAAGAAGATAAAACCAACATCATCTACAAAATAGATTGTATCAACTGCGAAAAACACTACATTGGCCAAAGTGGACGTCCCCTTCGTCTTCGTATCCACGAACATAAGCTAGCTGTCAAAAGACACGATATCCACTCCCTCATATCACTACATACAGACAACCACGGACATCAATTCGACTGGGACAACGTTCAAATATTAGACAGAGGAGACAACAAGAATGCTAGAGAATTTTTAGAAGCTTGGCATTCCAGTGAATCATCAATCAATAGACACATCGAGATAGACAAAATTTATCAACCGATAAGAAAGAAACCTCACACACAAAGGGTCAAAGTTCAAGTCGAAGAAACAATGAGTTACAATACAAATAATCTAGAAGGTGTGAAAACACAAAAACAACCAATCACATCCAAGGTCACCAGGAGAGATGATTAATAAACTCGTGGAGAAATCTAAAAGCTCACTTCAAATTGAAGTATGCGCTGAAGATGTCGCCTAGTAGGGCGATGAAAGCTTCGCAAATTAACTATCCAGCTCAGAGAACACAACCACATCAAAAAAATGAAACTTCTTGAACAATGGAGCCTCACAATCTCATAGATTAGATTTCCATCCTTACTTAGCACTCCACGCATGATATCATTATTTATTCACCTGTTACCTCAGATAAAGTGAACACTTGGGTAGAGATACGTATTATCGAAAACTTTTATCTTCATGATAGCAATAAATTGTATTCGAAATGTCACCAGTACCTTGTACTATATTTCCCACATTTTCTAGCATCAGTAGCTGGATTAACCTTTTCTGAAATCAGCAGAAGAACACTTCGGCAGACTGGGCTTAAAAGAAGAGATTCACAGGACTATCAGTGAGCTAACTGCCATCAGACTTGCAACTGAACAACTGAAATCCAAACTGAAAAGTATCAGTGGCTGAACTGCATCCTTTCACCATTTCTATCATGTCAAAGTGAGTCACCTACACTCACACTTCCAAGTTCATATCTGATTCACCAAAGTAACAACAACTTACAACATCAAAAACCGAATCCAAGAAATGTCATGCAACAATCACTTCTATCCACCACACTCACCCTTCCTCCAATATACTAAACCCTCCACTCCATGCCATTATCTCATATTCCCAAAGATTCAAAAATAAAATCAGATATTCTCTACACCTTCGAGTATAGTGCTAACACTATCACATACAACACCAACAACTTACAGACACTGACAACTCACTCCGGATATTCTCCCCCCAATACACAATCATGACAAAACTAGCTAGTAAGTGCTGGTTGGTTCTTCACACAGTCAACTCTATGCACCATACCACAACATGTGGTGTCAGGTCGCTCGACTGCCACACCACCGTCTTTCTCATTAATATTACCTACACAGACGCGCCACCCTGTAGTCACTGAAAGTGTAATATCTGTAACCAAAAGTGAAGTCCTACTCTCACCTTCACAAACGCTAATCGAAAAGACAAGACAAACAACCTGACTCAATGTAATACGAAAAACATTGCGGAAAATCAACTATACAAACACGTCACTCTTCCCCTTACCATTGATCTTCATCGAACGCTACTAGCACACCTTCACTCACACAAAATTACTCCTCCAATAACTGAGTCTTAACAAATTCAGTACCCCGATGGTGTAATTAAGAAACATATGATCGAGAAGAATCCCACACTCATCGCCTCTCAACTTAACCATCTGTAAGCAAGGAATCACAAAGTTCTTTCTCTACACATCTCATATTGCTTACAACAATTTTACACTTGCATCCTATATAATTCGTTACTAAGATTGTGCATTTGAGTACCCTCAGGAGACCTGTTGTATTTGTTATCATGTAGTGTAATACGAAGTACTAGTTTAGATCAAGTTTATGTTCACACAAAGGCATGACTCAATTTTGAGTTCGGTGACGCTCCCTAGTAATACAAACTTGACAGTTAAGGTCTACAACGGGGTGGCCGAAATCGGAAACTCAAGAGGAAGGATAACGATTTATAAACCATTTGCTTTACTTCAGTTACTTTTAAATTATTATTTTAGTTGTGTTTATTGCCATCTTGAGTTGTTTAAATATACCTTCACTGCGTTGACTGCATTCACTAATGGTGGTGAAAATATGTGAAACAGTCCTAAACTAGAAGACCCATAGTTTGTAATAGCTAAACACCCTCCTGTGGTTTAGTAATGATTCGCAGAGGTGCATACACCAGACCGGGTAACATAGCTATGCTGAAAACGACAGCTCACTATACAACAGGATATTTCAGTAACAAATGAAATCAAGACTTGATCAGTAACTAGATTTAATAATGTCCATGTGTTAACCCGAAAATCGCTAGTTCGAGTACCAGCGATATCCAAATTTTCATTTCAATCAACTATTTATTTTCTTTGGCCATAAAAATGTTCCTCCGTGAATTTACATTTTACGAACATATGTTATCTCTCATAGATCACTAATTTAAGGTACAAAGGAAAGGCATCCAATCTTATAAAAACGACACTGAAGAGATCACTTACCTGTTGAGTCTGAATATTTGCAATCCTTTTCAACGCTCTGATTATAATAGTTGGGGCTACAGGATTAAATTCTATGCGGCGTATTCGTAACTCATTGCACAAAGATGGAGGACATATAATCCTTTCACAGGTAAGATCACTGTGAGTGAAGTTTGAAGAGGATAAAATAAGGACCAACAAGCAATTCGGACGTGCGCGAGTACTATGTAAACGAAGTAGACTATGAAAACGCGAAGGATTTTCACTAATACAGACAGGAAAATTCTAAAACGAAGAAATAAAGCACTATTATGTTTCAAGCCACCACCCAAATTAAGGTAATGAATAATAAAAATATAGGCTTGTATTTTGAATGCCAATAATCTTCCCTTTCAACATCCATGACAAAAATAAAATAAAGCGAAATGTGAATGATACCACAGCTGGTAATTAACTTAAAAGCAACACCAGTGGTGAAGCGAAACGGAAAACAAAAGGCAACACATGTGCTCAGTTCATGGATGATGTTAAAAGATAAAGAAAGTTACAATTTTAACCACCAAAATTACAATTACTTGTCAGTTACATATTTTACCAATTGGCTGAACCAAATGTGACCCCCCCCCCCCGGGTGTTTGGGGACATTCTCGCCAATATAAGAAAAAATAGAGCAAAACGCTGCAAGGAAGAAAAATCAGGCTACTTAAAATCCATATATGTGTAAAACTTGGGCACTGTGGTAGTAAGTAATTCCATATTAGCTTGTTTATTAGGTATATCACACAGTGAAACAGTATTATTTACTGGATGACGTTTCGAACAAAATTTATTGTTCATAATTATATCAATTGATATGATGAACTGATACAGTTTTGTGCTAAATTCCAGGTTCAGCCATAATCACCTATTTCAACATGATCTTGTTTGTGGTTTTTTAAGTGTTAATACTTGGACGGTTATACTTCAAAGAAAGACTATTCGTTGGTACACTCTTCTGAGACTCCTAACAGTTTTCAAAATTTAAAGATAAGTAATTTTAAACTTCAATGGCATTTTAAACACACCCTATAAATATTTAGGAGTGTTCAATGAGATTTTAGAGCGATAAGATGAGTACATGTACACAACCTGTATTTTAGACTAAAACAGAAAATAGTCTGATATCATGGGGTTTATAATCCATTTTAACTAAACCCACTCACTACGTAGCAAACGAAAAATATGGACATCTGACCTATCAATCGCCTAGAGTATATGTGAATGGACCTATAAAACCGTCGAACATTCAGTAGGCAAGTCAGACATTAGAAACCGCTTTACCCCGAATTAGAAAGTTATCCAGAAGTAACCGAATGCAACGAAGTAGCCCAGCAATTGGCGTATTTATATTAACAGCAGTTGCAAAAAAGACGAATTATAAGTGCATTACGGTTGCTCAACATATGTACATCTTACATATCAACTATGTTGAAATATATATTAACGTCATCAGTTTGAAACATGTACACCAGCTTTTCGTCAATCTACTGAATTAATCAAAAAATGTGAGTCATTAAAATCACAACTGGCAAGAAAATGATATGCCCGAAAGGCAAACTAACTTCTAAGATCATAACTGTTCCCTGAGAGGTACATTCGTTAGATATTTCCAGACTTTTTGGGCATACAGATCTCCCACCATAAAATCCAGACGATGAAACGAACCTTTCCAACTCCGTGTACTCATCATGACCAATACCTTCATCCGTAAACTCCACTACGTCGATACCAGGAGATATTGAACGAGCGAGGACATCAACAGCAGTAGTTTTCCCAGAACCCGTAGGTCCTATAAGGAGCAAGATCTGCCCACCAGCAGGATTTTTGTTTGCCAGTGATTCTTTCAAACAAGAGCGCAACTCCTTTAGCTTTTCTCTGTGAACGGCTAAATCTGCCTGAGAAAATGAAATGTTGTCTCTGATATACCTCACTGTTACAGCAACACGAATCTAACCAGGTCTTAAAATTTTTCGTATGTTTTTCTTGCAATTTCGTAATAAATGTCTCTCTTTGAAGCCATTTCTGTTCCCTCCTTGGACTCATGTGAGAGTAGCGCTATATATGATAATGGCTCCAAAATAATTAGGTTCGGCTGGACTTACTCGTTACGCTGGCTGAAATTTTATTTGGCAAGTGTTTTTTGTGAGTATTTTTTACTAAAACTGTATCAGGAGGTTTATTGGATTCCATAAAATTCTGGCATATGCAAGCTATCTAATATGCTGCGATGCACGGCAGAAATTAAACGTCACGTACAAGGTCATTAATGGAGTAAGACGCTCAAGGTCATTTTCGTCCTTGTTGGATTGCAGTTCCGTAGCTCTTCGTTTACACATTGGTTTTCCGTTTATCCAGCAGTTATTCACAACTTATCTTGATGCACATTGTTCACAAATGTTGCGTTTCACTTCATTATTGTTTCCGTTTCTGTTAAAATTAGTTATTTCGTTTGTTTCGAAAGTTTTTACCACCAGGTCAGTTCATTCATTTCATTGTTATTGTTTCATACGTTGCATTCATGTATGGTTTCAGGGTTTTAGTTGTTTTTCCACTATTATAAAATTACTACTGTGTAGAAGTTTTGGAAATTATGCACACGAACATGTTTGGTTGGCGGAAGCAATTGTTTCCAGTTCATTCGTTGGTTGCCGTTATTGTTGCTGGCTCAGTTGCTTACTTAACATGTAGAAATCTGGAAAAAACAATGTCTGTCACATTCATGTTTACAGCATGCAGCAATCTACGAGTCAATCTGATGAGGAAAATACGATCAGAGTTGATATTAGCAAAGATTTCGAAGAGCAAATTAAACCTGAAGAATTTAGAACCCGGGATGATGTTGAAAAAGCTTTGAAGCTTTTTGAGAAGGTAAGCATAGTATCAGTGTGTCTATTATCAGTTAACAAACACCCGGTATATTGTGAGAGAATCTAAATTAAATAAGGATGAGCCACATGTGAAGTATGACTATGCGGTGTATGTATGTACTTTTGGACACAAAAGGAAATCCGTAGGTAAACACATCCGCCTTAGGGGGTAAGTTTCCTGTGGTTGTTAATGTCTTATGGAGTAGATCTAAATACAGTGGTTGCCCATCAATGATACGCATCCGATATCATTGCAATGAATTCATTATACCATCTGTATATATGATTCATAATCACTATTGCACTCGTGATTATTTAATGAAGGATGCCAGAGCACGCAAATTAGATGAGTCTGAACTCTCTATAGTTAAGCCGATGCTGTCTGTTTCATCCGAACCTGAAAAGGTTATTGATTACGTTGCAGAACGATTCAAAAAAGATGACGTACAATGATCTACGAAATATAAGAGCTACTGTATTTGAAGGTGAGACTTTGATTTACAAGAATAACCTTTCAGATTGTGATTTACGGTCAGTGGATTTTCCATATTACACCAAGCTGGTTATAATTCGGGATGAAAACGATGGAAGAATAAAAATAACATGTTTTAGAATTGCGTGGGTATCGAATGTTCGCGAGTTGTACGGATTATACTAACGCAAGATCTTATACCAACAACCACTATAGTGTTCGTTCTTCGAGTACCAAATGGTAAAGCAAAAGACCAGATTTTGTCGTCCAAATACGATATATATTTTGGGACCAAATCGCGGGTAGGAATGAATGCTTAGCTAGCTAGTAATCGTGCACGCACGTGACACGACGAAGCACCAAATGGCGGGGATGCTTGACCGTAAGCCTTCAGCTAAACAAGTCGACTTAAACAGTGATGGTCAGCATCCAATGTTGAGTGATGATTGCTGTGGTTAATAATTTTGGGGAATTATTTACCGCTACAGCTCACTCCCCCCCTAGTGGGTTTGTGAGGACCCTAAGACATGACCACCTGGAAGTAAAAAAATCTCGATGGTTCCCTGATGGGTGAAAAAAATCTTCCGAGCGGCTTGATCGAGAGCCTGCTGGTCTGTCTGCCTATGCTAATAGGGTGTCTGTACATAGCTTCCTCAGTGTTGTTCGTTGGATCCCGTGCTTCGTTTGTTTCCTGTCCAGTGCCCGTTGCACCTGGAAAAGTAAAACAAGAATGCTGAGAACCTTGTCAAGAAAAATGTACCAAATAAGCGTTTTTTTTTAAAAAAATTGACATGCATCTACTATACAGTAAAATAATGTAAAGTTCAAAATATCGGGAAAAAAAAATATACATCTTATATAATTTTATGTACGGTTATAGGAATATCATTTACTTGTGTTAAATGACGCAACATAAAAAAAAATTGATGTGTCACTCAGTTATGTGAAATAGGTGTGAAAGTATTCTGAGAATCTAACGTGACGTCCAGAACGCGCTTTTTTAGAGTGATCGACCGAAGTAGCCAGTGGGCGAATGCCCTGACAGTCAATAGTGTGACCCAGAAAATCGAGTGAGTCAACGCCTATTTGACACTTCTGTATATTGATGGTAACACCATGTTGGCGTAACCTTTCAAATGCCAAGTCCAAGTGTCTAAGGTGAGTTTCCTTATCTGGACTGGCAATGAGGCAGTCGTCTAAGTATGCGTATACAAAGTCGAGACCGCGAAATACTTCGTTGATGAAGCGTTGGAATGTTTGGGCCGCATTCCGGAGGCCGAATGGCATACGTAGAAATTCGAAGAGTCCGAAAGGCGTGATGATAGCCGTTTTCGGGATGTCTTCCGTTGCCATGGGGATTTGGTTATATGCTTTAACCAAGTCGATTTTGGAGAATATAGATGCTCCAGATAACGTTGCCGTCAAGTCGTGTATGTGAGGCAAAGGGTAGCAATCAGGGGTTGTTTTGGCGTTCACTCGCCGGTAATCGCCAGTGGGTCGCCAATCGTTGCTGTCCTTTTTCGGTACCATATGCAGTGGGGATGCCCATGGACTATTCGATGGCCGAATGATGCCAAGGGTGAGCATATGATCGAATTCGTTTCTGGCAATTCTCAGTTTGTCAGGGGCCAGTCGTCGTGCTTTAGATGTCACGGGCTGTCCTGAGGTTATGATGTGGTGCATAACATTGCTGGTTATACACGGGAGGTCGTTAGATGGGCAATTCAGTTCCGGATATTTATCAACAATCGGTTGAAAAGTTGGATCGAGGATTGCTTTCATCTTAACGATTGACAAGCTGGGGCCACTGTAAGTTATGCCTTTGATAGACAAACTAGTAGTGTTGTCAATTAATCGTTTACGGCGGACGTCTACGAGCAAATCATGATGATTAAGTAGGTCCGTGCCGATGATGGGCATTGTGACGTCAGCGATCAGAAAAATCCACCGAATAGGTTTGCGTAAACCTACGTTCAGATAGACGTATTTCCGACCATAGGTTGCAATTGGTTTTCCATTTGCAGCCTGTAGGTTGAAGTTAGGATCCTTCTGTCGATCTGCTGCTGTAGCAGGAAGGACGCTGACTTCGGCGCCTGTGTCGACTAGATATCTAGTCTGGCTAATTACATCGTGGATGTAAAGTAAGCGGCTAGTGCCACCGGCGACGGTTGCCGCTAACGCGTGCCGGCGGGATAGTTTCCCACAGACTTGGAGGCTTTGCCGAAATCACAAGGTCTTCGACAACATTTCGCTTCCTTGCCATAGGTGTTGTGATACCAACACCAGTCAGGATTTTTGAGAGAACGTGTGTTGGACTTAGATCGTCCACGTGCGTTCAGCCGTTGAGGGGATTTAGAACGACGATAGGAGGAATTGCTAGGCTTGTTTGACCTAAGCATCTGCTGGACGGAGTTGATTAACTCTATCATTGCAGAATCCTTCTTCGAAGTCTGTTCGGTAACAGAGTAAACTTCGGTGACTGGCCGTTTCGTTATCTCTAGAATTCTATCTGCAGAGACGGCTAAATCATCTATGAGAACACCCTGAAGTGTCACAAGTACAGTCTGAACTGACTGTGGCAGTTTGGATAAAAATAGTTCTCTGAACAGTCCTTCATCGAACTGACTTTGGCCAATGATCTCTTTCATTCTTGCCAGCATGCTCACGGCTGACTGATCTCCTAACTCGATGTTACGAAATAACTCATCCAGACGTTGTCGATCTGTGAGAACGTTTCTCTTGAGTATGGATGCTTTTAGCAACTCGTACGAGTTACTTACCGACATCTGCAGAGTTACGCACCTGCTGAATTCCCGCGGTAGGGCGTGAATAACTGCAAGGAACTGTGAACGTTGATCAGTTATGCCATGTTCACAAAAATCAGACTCAGCAATCTGAAACCACGTTTCAGCATTATCTGGCCAAAATGGTACTAGCTGAATTGTTTTGGCGGTTGAGCGAATCTGAATAACCTTGGGGCTAGGATCACTCATGACGAAAAGTATGCCGATAACAATATAGTACAAGAATAAACACAAAAAGGAACGAACTCACCGGGTTTATCTGCGTGTGAATTGAAAATGTAGTTCGTGGTCGGGCTCACCAGTTTAAAGACTGACGGTATCGACGTTCGCGAGTTGTACGGATTATACTAACGCAAGATCTTATACCAACAACCACTATAGTGTTCGTTCTTCGAGTACCAAATGGTAAAGCAAAAGACCAGATTTTGTCGTCCAAATACGATATATATTTTGGGACCAAATCGCGGGTAGGAATGAATGCTTAGCTAGCTAGTAATCGTGCACGCACGTGACACGACGAAGCACCAAATGGCGGGGATGCTTGACCGTAAGCCTTCAGCTAAACAAGTCGATTTAAACAGTGATGGTCAGCATCCAATGTTGAGTGATGATTGCTGTGGTTAATAATTTTGGGGAATTATTTACCGCTACAATGTTTTAGTTCAAATAGGCAAGTCGAAATTTACCACAAATCCCCTGAGGTCGTGGGTTTCGATTCCACCTACAACACTAATAGAGGAAAGTAGGTGTAAATGTTTTCTACATCGAATATTTGAAGCTATAAACTGTCTCAATTTGTTGTTACAGACTCTCATGGAGAAGGTCTGCCGGTTATGTTTGCATGGAGTAGGCAAGAAAGGCTGGATGATTTAACGACGATTCTGGATAAATTTAAATGTATAATGGGTACGACCTCCAATACAGAAACGTTTGTCCTGGATTGCGCAAAAGCATTGAGAGGTGCCGTTGAGACAACGCACCCACTTTGCAATATAATATTGTGTGCATTCCATGTTTCTCGTGCAATGCGTAAAAAGGTAAGTTTTGTGAATTTCGAAGATTTTGTAGACAAAAAGTAAACTTGTTAGACAGTAGCTATCGAGTATGATTCGCGAG